ATATTCTATATATAAAGCGGCTAGTCTACTTATTATATTAGGAAAAATTAATTGACCTTTTAAGCCTACCATTACCATAGTTTATGAATTTCACGTGATATGGGTATTATCTCAAGTATAAGACCGACCCCATACCTATTTACCCATGGATTGTCATACCGAATGTGTTGTCTCAGATGGACATGGCAGACATGGAAAAGTGTGATGCACATTTTACACAGTTACTCGTCCGCCGATAAATCATCCTTAGTTAGAACAAGGCAGGTGGGCCTTTCGACGACTGACTATGGCAATGTAATATCGAGTTTTGGATGAGGTGATCAGGCTTGAGTTCATGACTAGGAATCGATAGTCGACTATAGCCATCCTCTGCTCCATACTTCAAAAACAAGGCCTCACATACAAGCTTAGGAGTTGAACTTGATAGCCAAGCGGACTGATCATCGTATGTTGGCCTCGGTACCAAGTACCAGGCCGTTGGGAGACAAGGAAGCAAGAGGACGGATTTGTATGGTACCCGTGCACTTGAGCAATCGTGCAATCGATCCATCGATATGCTACGGGATTGTACTGAGTAGACCCGTTAGCCATCATCCGCAAACATTTCATGCGAACCCAGTGGGGAAATTTTGAGTTTCGAATGACAGATTGAGTGCCAATTTCCATAGCCTTGCGGGGAAAAGTATGTCTGTGAAGTGGAAATGAGCCACCCGGAGATTTCATTATTACAAGAGTAGCTATTACTTGAACCAGGCTAGACCCTGACTTGAGGCTTGAAGTGGCAGCTTTCAGGGATTGTCAAGGATGGGCTGATCTTACGCAGCGAAATGATCGCATAGTTTCGTCAGAGTCCCATGACAATGATCAGAGGCACGGCAATATCTGTCATGTGGATGCTGGACTGATGTTCGAGTCAGACAAATTTGTCGGGCGGTGTCGGGCAGCTTTGGAGTGTGGATGGCCATTGTGTACATCCTCACTCACAGCTAAGCGAACGATCAACATCAACGCACATGCACAAGTAAGCGATGCTACCGGGTAGATCTTCCGGGCCTTCAGCTACGGAGTAGATTGTATTTCGTTTGTACGTGTTGGGCGCGTAAAGAATTGGGTTGAGACTGGAGACTATCCACAACAATGAATGGTTTATGAATTATCTTGCTAATCGACGTCATTATTGCCGACTGCTGTTGAAGCAGATGATGAAGAATCGCGTATCTTGAACGCGCTTTTGGAGTCTGGGGTTCCATGTGGCAACGCTAGTGAAACCAGCCCAGAGCTTAAGGATCGATGAAAATTATTGGGAATCGCCGCATCCCGCAGATGGCAAATTCTGCCGATGGCGACATATGCGTAAGCGCGTGATTAGTGACGCAAGCATGACACTGATGGTATATGGAAATAAAATCCGAGAACATTGAGATTGAAGGAGGGGTTGGTTCAGAAATATGAATTCAGAAAACTGGATGGGCGTTCAGTTGTCGAGTTGTCGTCAGTGCGTTGGAGACTGGTGTGGAGATGTGGGAATTATGATGGATCTGACGTCGGAGGTTAATTTGCAGGGCAGATTGCACAGCCTTGCAGTGAGTGGATCGAGTTGTGGAAGGCTTGCACGGACGCATCTAGAAAACCGAGCCTAACGCACCAAAGTGGGAAAAGATGGTCAATGTTGATTGTTGGTGAAATTACTTCCGCTGACGCGTCTGGAACAGCGCACCGCGTGTCGCCTGCAACATGGATATTGTAGGAAGGTACCATCGCACCTTGACTTTGCTGGGTAGGTACCTATGGTATTTTGTGTACAGTACACGCGCATAGCGGCTCTTTCCCACTTATTGCTCCTGCACGTCAGTCATCCCTCGTATGCACTGTCACGGTCTAAAGCCAAAGGAGATTTGCAGTGTGCCTCGAGAACTTGCAATGGGCAAAGTTTTAACCTATTGGGTGGCTTACTTCTATTGAAATACAGTGCAAAAATGGCCACCCGAATGGAGAGTCGAGGGCATCTGTCCTATTGTACCTCTAGCCTTCATAGAAGAGATCAAGAATTGCCTCTTTGGAATTAAAGTCGTGATAGACGACCAGATGGCAGCTGTAAATAGCATGAAAAGGACTAAGAATGATATTCCTGCGAGAAGACTGGCCAAATTGCTGAGTTCATGAAGACGTCAAACAACCAATGAGAAGTAACAGACATGGTAAAGAAGAACTTGGCAACATGATGGAGTTGACAATTTCTCAAGTCAGGGGTTAGAATCACGACTCGCACGTTGATTGGACATGAGATGATGAACCCTGTTCCAGACTTTCAAGGTTGCTCCCGAAGGCCGTGGGCGCCACTGAAACAAAGATGTTTTGGGTTGGTGTTAGGCTTGGCATACCCTGTTTCCATTGGTTCACTTTGTTCCGAGACCCTGCGTGCCTGCTTCGAATCGACGCACCCTGGCAAGGTTTGCATCCAGAGGAAGGCTCCGATGGTCCCGTCGTGCTACCGTCGATTTTGTTGGACTCGATAACATGATAAGTCGGACTGGCATTCGGCATCCGAAGTAGTCAGACCTGATCAGGGACACAAGAAATGACAAAGTACTGTGCGAGCCCAGAATTGAAGTTCCAGCTTGGGCAACGACCCCAATGCCTTTCTTGGCCCGCACAACGGGGCGGCTGCCAGTTGGGCAAGCATAGCGAGATATCTTTGACCAAGGGGATGATAAGCACCAGATACGAGAATGCACAGACTGTGCGTACCGCTGCATCTCGCACTGGGACTTGCCATTATGAGCAGGGACCTTCCCTGAGCAGTCGACGGCCTCAAAGAAGAGGGCCGGAGTAGTTGGTATTGAGACCGTGCTGTATCCTATGTGCTGCCGACGGGACTAGATTCCAAAACACACCCCATCCAGCTTTCGATGATGGCATGTCCAGTGCACTCCCTTTTCAACCCAAGAAATTTCTAGGTACCGAAGTTCCGCTGTGATGGTTCCGCTGGAATGTACCTCACCGCATACATATCCGATCTTGTATGTTGTGGCTAGTACTGCAGATCTGGAAGGCTGGAGGCTATAAAAGACTGCACAGTGTCCTCCGTATGGATAGGAGATGTTCCAGGAACGAAACTAGGTAATCAAGCCCGGCTGTTTGGAGACCATCTGTGACACGCTACTCAAGGGGACTGTGACCTAACAAGCTGAGTGCCTGGTTTCTCGTTGGTTGCTTGTCATGACCGGCTCACGGAACGCACGGGACTACGTTGATGGTAACCGTTAACCATGCCTACTGGGTATAAGTCACTCCCGGTACCTGCATCGAGTGGTCAATTTTAGGCAAAGGGCTGCCCCATCAAAGCCCATCCCAGTCTATTCGGCTCGCTTCCGCCGCTGTTCGATTCGTCTCTCTGACAACTCTCGAGGCGACTGTGCCACAGATTTCACGTCCAGGAGGAACCTGCCACCCAATACCCGCTACTCAACTCCTTGCCCCTTGGAGCTACAGGGTGACTATGTATTGACTCGTGTAACCGACATATTGATAGTCGTTACTCCTGAGACCGTTGTGCTTCCGAGTCCCAAACGCCCATCGTCCAGCAACGAGTCGTGTCAACATTATTGTAGCTGTAGATCTCTTCATGTCGGCTTCACGGCGGCTATAATTGAGTTTGCTGGCAGCTGTCAAAGACGTACCCATCGTCAAACTCTGTCGTTGTGTGTCATCTCCACGAAACTTTGGAACCCACACCGTATCCTCCACCCTCCCAATCCAGACATTTCATGCTTCACCTCAATCTGTGCGCTGTGTACAAAACACTTGCAGTCAAATTCTCGGTGTCTTTGTCTTCACGGCTCACGAGCCACAAGGTGACCCCAAGACGACCCGCTCTTAACGACCGCCCCAAGTCACTTGAGAGGTCTCAAACGGCCGAGGCCACCACTCTACAAACCAGCATCCACCTGGTCTTCATCCCTGCTCCACGTCTCCATATTGATCCTGCACACCTGGTTCCCGCCTTGGCCCTCACCACCTGCGTCCACCGTCCACCGTTCGACGACCCCCGTCAATTTGCTGTCCATCGTGTCAATCTGGTGCTATCCGCACGCGTCAACCTTGCTCGTTGCAGGCAGGGAACCAGCTGGCAGGAACACAATCGCATCCAACTTTCTGCCAGTCTGCTGGTCCGTTCTTCTCCACCACCAACTTCATTCGCTCCATCACACTTTGCACGTCTCAACCCACCCCGACTGCCAATACAATACTCGCTCTCTTCCCTTCCTTGTCTTCTTGAACCCTCGCGACCGTGTCAAGAGGATTTGCCATCTTTCACCCGCCCGATTTCCACGTTTCGTCTGCCGGCTCAGCTCCTTCCACATTCCTTCGACGAAATCGTCCTCCCTCGAGCACCTTGGAATCAAGCACACAAACGTCCAACTCTACACCTCTACGTACGGCTGCAATCTGATCTGAGACTCGCCAGTCTCTTGCGCCGCAATCCCAATCGAGACGGTACCACGGCCACTCGACTCGACGCGCTCGCCCATGAGAACTTGAAAAGGTCCCAATCAGTCGCTCGTTATCGCTCTTTTCGTCTTCTTTTCCGATCTTCGGCCCTCGTTTCAAACCTCGTCACTCACTTGCATAACGCCAGTCGTTGCGGCCCGCTTGCCATCTGTTTGAACAGGCCTTATATCGGAGAAGACCTGTCGCTTTGGGAATATTTGGACGGTCAATTGAAGGCAAGCGTCTGCGTAAAGGAAACCTCCACCACGATTAGCGAGACAGCGCACTACGCAGCATCGAATACGTACTTGTTGCCTTGGTAGAGCAATTGCATGCTTCGGCCTGATACCCTCGCGGCTAATGGCACGACCTTGATCTTCACTCTCACCAACGTCACTCTTTCTCAACCGTGAGTCATCTCCCCAGTCGTTCACGGTCATGTAGCTGACGAATCCTGATAGCTTCTTTACGTCCCCTTTTCAACACCAAATCGTTCTTTACCCGCCAGCATGAATGTTTTCAAGAAAAAGACAAAGGCGAAGGACGAGGCTTTTGCCATTCCCTCAGCCAAGTCGTCCGACGACCCTCCTCCCTCTAAACTATCTCGCAGTCTGAAGCGAAAGCAAAAGAATGTGGTGGAGCCAAAACTTGAATTGGATCTGGCTACCGCCTTGCCTCAGACAGATGACTTCCGTACAAGTCTGCTGATGCCTGGCCTATCAGCGCGCTTCAGCATGCTTCGCGAGCAGGATGATCCAAATACAAAAGTCGGCAAAGCGAGTGACGATAGCGTGCTCTTCCCCAAAAGAGTCTCTCGTCTCAATCTATTTTCACATAATCCTCTAACAGACATTTCCGAGACCGACTCCCTCAAGGCCCCCTACCGACCACCTTTTGCCGATACGGAGCGATCACAATCCGTGGCGGAAAGTATAGCTTACGGCAGCGATGATGGCGCAAGCGTCATGGGACGATCCAGACCTGTGGAAGGTAACCACTTTTTCACAAACCGGCAAAAGACTTTTCAAGCTCCAACAGCGTCCTCATCCAGCAACGAGCTCGATGATGTTCAGACCCCTTTGAAAAGCGACCGCTCCCTGGCCGACAGTGACACGGTCCCCGCGACATATCAGCAGTGGCGTGCCAAAGGCGGAGAGGTATCTCGAGAACGCCGGCTGAGCGCGGAGACTGTGGAAAATGAAAACGGTAGCGTGGTGAACACACCTTCAACAGGTTTCAGTAAGAGTCGAGGCACAGCATCGTCAACTGCTTCAGGTCCTTCCAACCGTCGCACTTCAACGGCAGCCACTTCTGTCGTTTCTGACTCTCCTGTGGCCAGACAAAGCAACCTCAGCGCCGGTTCTAATACCCGGATCAACACAAACGAGTATGGAAGCGAGGACAGTTCACTGTCGCGCAATATTTCTTCAGAGTCCCGCAAAGGTTTTCCTTTCAATGAAGATACTAATCAGCCGCCCCTGCCCACCTCACCTAGCAACAAACGCCCGCTTCCACACTCTCGAAATTTCATCTATAAAGGGGACAAGCTTGGCGAGCGCCCACCTCCTTTCCTGACAGACGCTCCGCGAACAGCGAGCCCTTCCCGGTCACCCCAAACCAACGGCCTTGCGTCCCTGGACTTTGGACTGAATTCGGACAACAGTCACCATCGAAAATTTCAGACAGCATCGCCCACAACTGAGTCGTTCGAGGACGACGCTATTTACGTCCAGAGTTTACAGCCCAATGATCGGGGCAAAGCAACGGCACTAGGCCTCTTCAACCGGCCTCGTCAGCCTTTTGACGAGCAGCAATTCCAACAACGACAGCTTCAAATGCAACAAGCGAGAGGACTGCACGAGGGTTCCGTCAACAAGAGTGCCGAAGAGGCGGCAACAGCCGTGCAAGGTCGTCCTAGGAGCCCTTCGTCCCCGAGCACCCGAGGATTCTTGCGTGGTCAAGAGAAGCCTACGAGTGTTTCTAACGCAATGAGGTCACGCTCCCAATCTTCTGCATCTACTGGCGCCGGACACGTGCAGAGCCACATCGAGGACATCATCAAGCGGCAGAATGAAGAATTTGCCTCGTTCTACCAGGCCAAAGCACCAAACAATGCCGACTCTGTCATAAAGTCCCCCAAGCCCTCACCGCCGATGGCTAACGCTGCGGCATCAAGGGGAACTTTCTACAATGCATTCGATGGCAGCGATGAGGAGGAGGACATGGACAGTCCGATGTTGGGCAGATACGACCCTGGACCTCGCGTGGCGCCAACTGATATCCATCCTGCCTTGCGTGACGGGTCGCAGACGTTTGATTTTGGTCAGACTGCCTTGGAACCTCACGATTCAGCCCAACGCCAATCTGATGGATCTCTCGAAAGTTCATCAGCGTCGGCTCTTCATGATACGCCAAATACCTCGGACTCTGTCCACGCGTCCTCTCCAACAAAAGCAACTGACTCACCTACACTTGGACCTACTACCGGGCTAGGATTAAGTGGCCTTATTCGGACGCATCTTCGACATGATAGCGATCGCTCATCGCTGGCGCCTCAGCCTTCTCCAAGAAGGTCACAATTCGATCATGTCGTTTCGGATGGTATCAGAGACCGGCAATCATCCATTGCCTCCACCACTCGGACCATCAATCCACCCGAGAGCACTCACAGCGACCCATGGGAATTCGATAACGCTCAGAGAAGCCAGCGAGCTATTCGTGACCAGGATGCGATCCCCACCATGTCGCAGAAGGCGCAGCAGATCCTGGGACAAGCCATTTCGCACAAGCAACGAGCCATGAGCAAAGCACAACAAGTCTTGGGCAATGGAGCCCCTATGTCGGAAGAGGTAACGGCAAAGCCCTTCCCAATGGAAGCACAAGTCAATCACCATCGAGGGGAGAGCACAGAAACGCAGAAAGAGTTCGGCAACGAACTGGCCGAGCGTGCGAGGAGGATCCAAGAAGGCTTGAAGGGAGCCCCTGATCACGACCGTCAGGCGACAAGTACAGCATTGGCACGTGGCGAGCGTCAAATGCCAGGTGCGTCTGCCTTTCCCGTTCTGAGACAAAAACTCTCCAAGACATCACTCGTTCCATCACGTGGAGAGGATGCTCAGAGCAAAGCTATGAAAATCCTTGGCGTGGGCGGTAGCCTGCCTCGAGCGGACAAGGGCAATGGATCGCCTTTCCCGCCGCTGGGTGGCGATTCCGATGAGCTTGATGCCAACGACGGCTATGCCAGGAGACCACCGCCAAGAAAAAACACAATGGAGTTGGAAGAAGCTGGCGGCCCAAGCACGCCTGTGTATGGACGAGCACCAGTTCATGCGACAGAATCATATGAAGATTTCGAGCGTTCTCGGCAACGCTCTGTCATGTCTCACAACGGTAGAGGACCCCGTGGTGCCCGAGCAGAATCCGCGGGAGGTGAGCGGTCCCGGAGTAGAATGGGTCGTGATCGAGAAGAGGCTCCTTACTATGCACCAGAGCATGGCCGGCCTGGGCCAGCCCAACGACCTCCACAATGGGACCAACGTCGGGCACGAGGCCCACCCCCTGTCCACCCGCGAGGAGCCCCAGGGGAGGGCCGCAACTACGAGCGATCATCCTCAGCAATGTCGAATCATCGCTCGCCCATGATTAACACCACCACCACCAACACCACCACCGCCAACAACAACAACAACAACAACAACAACAACAACAACAACAACAACAACAACAACAACAACAACAACAACAACAACAACAACAACAACAACAACAA